AACTGGCCGGCAGAGTTCTTCCAAGTCTCGAAAGCTTGAAGGCTATTGATGCATATATCAATTGGCCGTACCTTGTCTCGAGCGCCTGAGGGCCAGTATGTTTTATATTTTATAATCAAAATTATATGGAGCTGTAACTTGTCTTGAACGCCTGAAGGCCAGTATTTTGCATGTAGCAATGAAACCTTGTCTCGAAGCTATATGTTTTTACATATATTATTATATGGCAAGCGTCACTTCCGGCTAAATGGCGCTAAAGACATCGGTCCGATATTTGCCGTAAAGACCTCGAGCTCGGATATTAAAGGCTTAATAATCGATACTGTGAAGTTTTATACCTTGTCTCGATTACGATATGCCATAGTTCCAGCGGCAATCTCAAGTATAAAAACAAGGAATACAAACAGGGCGTACTAAAATAAACAATTTAAGGCATTATATGTATGGATGGTGATAGGCAACAGCTGTTACGAAATTGACAACCGGCAACAACTATAATATGTATTCCTGTTAAACGTTTCAGCAACTCCGAAAATTCAAAAAAGTATGACAATTTTAGAGACTCATTAAGGCACTAGTTAAAATAATACAACAGCTAGACTAGATGCGTATACAAACATTTTTGATTCTTCGAACATCCACCTGTTTTCTAATGGCCGCTTTAGACATTTTACTGAGCAAAGCAAATATCCAGGTGAAATATAATAAATAACAGCTATGCTGCTAAAGTTATTTCATAATTAGTATAATAGCTGTATAAAAGTACAAAAATCCTCTTTATTTTATATTGAGTAAGCAACAGTTAAATAAAACGTAAGAAAGCTTTTTCCACGTTATTGCTTTCATAAAAGTGCAAGGCTCAGCAAAAAATTATTTACCAACATGAGACAACATTTGTTTTCCTTTATGGCGCCACAGCATCCCAAGACTCCGATACCAAGAACGAGTAAGCCGGCTGCAATCAGAATATTAGCAGCTTTGTCAACATCAGCATCACCAAGTAAAGCTTCGTAATCTTTGGCTGTAAGTCGACTCCACAGGCCAACACCGAATACTGAAATCCCGGCAATCTACAAATTAGTAGTAGGAAAGCAATTACTGCAACATGGGACTGCTGGTCAAAAACATTGACAATCTTCTCTTGCAATCTTCTTGAAAAACTGTAATATTTTCAAATGGATTGTATGATTTTTTCTAAATGAATTCAATGGTGCATTCGGCCTTAATTTTGCTCCAATGTTGAAAACAATTCTGTGCAGAAGCAAGAAATTTCAAAAATTATCAATAATTATTCAATAGTAAAGTAAATGGTTTGAGCCCGGGAGTATCGTTACATGTTTGTAAATGTAGATCGTCCAGGTTGGTATAGTCTTGAGAAGGACTGTTTTTGTTGTTGTTGACTGACGTTTCGACAACCTTAGAGGTAGTCATCTTCGGAGTCATATTTGAAAGTCTCTTGCAGTAATTCGTGATTGCTGCATTTGACATTTTTCAATTTAAGAAGTTCTATATTGTTTCTATTATTTATATCAACGGATATGATCTTTCAATAAATTTGTTTTTGAAACCATTTTACGAAGAATAATTACAGCTTATTTGACGATTAATCCGACATATACATTCACATAAGAATCCTAATTTATATTGTAGAAATTGTAGGTTACTCTGAATGAGCCACTTTTTGGGGGAAATCAATTCGATTTTCATACACACACCCAAACCACAGGTGATTTGAAAAGCAGTTATTTTTAGCATGTGTTAGAGGTAATTGCTGTAACTACTTGGGAGACCATTTTATATTTCCAGTGTCACATATAAGACGAATTCAGCAGAATATATTACAATAATGTATCTTTTTAATCTCAGCCGCCTTCAATATGGCAAAACATGCAATCCTGTAACAAATGATTTCTACACTGTTTGCTTGTTTATTCTTTGTAAAATACAATATGAGAGAGAAAAGTTACGAACAACACGAGAAACTTTTATGGGAAAATCAGCGATGCATGTAAATTTGCAGACATCTGACGAAAAGCACTTCAAGTTTTCGTCGGTGCTTACAGACATTACGAAAGCAAAATGACACATTATTCCTTCGCTAAGATTTCCAAGCTTCGTTTTTTTTAGAAAAATGCAGTTATCAGTTTTTAAAAAGGATTTCTTTGCCGAAAGCTTAGACGTGGCTGACATGCAATTAAACGTATACAGCTCGACGCTTTTATGATAATATATTCACAGGCAGTTTAATTTTTCCCTATTTTTTTCTACATCGATGACACATAATAAATATAGCTACGTAAAGCACTAAAAGCTTTCGAAGTAAAAACTTACCCAGAAAACAAGATTAAATGCAAGCAGAAGATACTTCGTGCAAGCCATGCCAAAGCTCAAGCCGCCCATTTTTATTAATCCTGTAAGTTAAACATATAGCTACTACTCATAAGAAATTCATCGAGTATAATCAATAAAGTAGTATATATGAAACTTTATACGCTCATTTGTTTAAACATGAATCGACATGTAAAAATACTGGCTGAAAGAGGCGAGAAGCACCACCTTACTACGTCGATAAATTTGATTTATGTTTTTGATCGGGTTACCTGTGATTTTAGGCTTCGAAAAGAGCAAGTCAACCTGTAGATCACTTCAGCAGAAATAGGACAAGCTGTCTTGATAAATGAAAATTTTAGATTTGCAAATTTAGAAATGTAAATTTCTCACCCGTTTTACCTGACTTCAACCAATGAGAGCGCGTCAATTTCGGCGACTGCCTAAAGACTGATAATGTATTTGACTATAGAGGAGTTTAAACTGTGCATAAGATATGAATTACAGCTATAAACTATATGTAAAGGTAATTATTGCTCAGCATTTAAAATTTTACGAGCTTAATGGCAATACAACACATATTTTTATGTGCAGTAGTTGAATGTTATTGAACGGTTGCTATGACAAAACATGAAGATAACACGAGGAATTTGAAATTTCGAAACTGAGTTGTTGGATAAACACCTGCCTGTCGCAATTAGGAGACACGATGAAATATGATTCAAGTAAGACGGGCGAAATTAAGCACAATCGTTCATGAATGTTCACATAAATAGGACTATAAAAGGAGGAGTTAAAAAATTCCAAAACGAAAAACGATAACTGAAGATTCGTGCGAAGGACAACGATTTGTACAGTTACAAAAGGAATAAATTCTTATCATCTCTGCTTTTAATTTCATTTTTTCTTTTACTTGAAAATGAAATATTTATGAAAAATTAGCGACGATGTCGTTTGTTCACTAATGCATCAGCTACGCCAAGCTTGAAGCAACTAAACTTAACGCGTAAAATAAAGAATTCACGTATGAAAATGGAGGTTATATGTTGGTTTTTATCAGTAATAAGGTTAGCCTACATTTTTATTGCCAATGAGGAAATCAGCAAACCATGTCGTTTATTTCCTTCAGAATATTGTTTGTTTTGTTTTGAATGAACACAAAAGTATTCGCAAGACATGGTTTTTGTCATAGGATTTTAATGAACACACAAAAATGTACACCAGAAAATTGTTTGTTTTGTTTTTCGATTGAATGAACTCAAAAGTATTTGCAAGACATGGTTTCTGTCATGTACACCAGAAAATTGCTGATGACTATAGACCATTTACTTTGTTTACGTTTTGCCTACATGCAGGCACATTAATCACTAGAGAAGTTACGCATTTTGCTAGTGTTGTCTAAACCCACTCAAACAAATCTGCCTGCCAGAAAAACGTAGACAAAGCAAGAGGTCTATAGATTGGCATTTATTTTAACATCCAAAGATTTATTTCAAAAGAAAAATTAAACGAAATTATTTGGAAAACAAATTTCAGTAGACCGCTTTCAACTCCAAATATCAAAAAAACACGAAAGATGCCGATTCATTTCGGTTTTCCGGTGGTTAATGTACAGAACCGTATAGATAAAACGTTTATTGAGGCGTGTTTATTGATTTCTGATATCTTTTGAAATTTATTTGTCTTTCTAAGGAAATCAGTCGAACACAACTAAAAACACACGAGTAAAACAGAGTGAGAAAAAAAACAAAGAAAAGTTTAAAACCCCATTTAATTAAAAAAGCGCCAACATCTAAGGCACCACTTGTTTATATTTCCTTCAGCAATTAAAAAATATGTATTGTATTTTTTTTACACATCAGCAGTGGGAAAAATACCAGCCTTTCCGGTAATCTGATTGGCTGCGGCAGCAGAGAGAATTTTACTATCTCTGACTGCGGTGCGGAATCCTGTGGCAGCGGCGGAATTTTACGATGCATAACCGCGGTCCGTAAGCCCAAAACTATAAATACTTGGACGAAGGTTTTTTTGCTTTGCTTTGCTTTGTTTTACAAAGGAAACTATTATACAGCTTTTGAAAATAATAATAATCTAATTCAAGTGAATTTTGAGTTTCCTAAGCAAAATGAAAAGCAAAGTTTTGATTATTTTCTTTGCCGCCATTGTCGGCGAAGACCTCGGGAAAATGACCTCCCAGCTTTTAAATAAAATATGCGCATCATGATGATAAAAAACAAAAGAGAAAACTAGCAATGAAAGCCAACACAATGCAACAATGAGCATGTGAAACTACACAAAACTACACATAAGTAAAAAGAAGTACACAAACTGAACATAAAAACCTATGAAAGATCTACATGACTGAACAAGAACTCAATAATTATAACACGATACAATTAAGAGCTATCCAAACTTGAACACACAGACTTATGCAACTAACATGAAACTATGCAATGACTAATCTGAACATGAAAATCGTACAACTGCGCTAAATATTCTTTGGAACATACAACTATGCTATATCCTTGAAGATACAACTAAACTAAATGTATGCAGCTTGAATATCATAAACTATACGTACATAAATCGTGCAATACCGAAACAGCAAACGATAAATCTACAAAATAAACTATAAAAATACGCTAGAACTAAAATTGCAAATACAATAATGCTTTCAAAAAAAGAAATGAATGCATTTCTCATCAAAACAGACGTGTTAAGTGCATATACACAAACACTGAACTTTCTTCATCGTGTACATTGGTACTGTATAGTTTTAAACTCAAAGTCGGATAAATTATCAAATGTTCCTTGGCAGTCTATACAGTTGCATAACGTCTATATACAAATAAAGAAACTCGTGCCTTTGTATTTTCTGTAGCCTTTACCTTCAAGTTTGAGAAACTGTCATATTTTTCACTACGGTCTTCAGCCTTGATTCCATTTCTTGTCCAGCTGCACTCGACGACTCTTGACCAGATGTGTAGAATATTCAAGGACTGAATGTGATTGTAAAGTTTTCGTGCTGGTTGGTCTGAGACTTTTTACGAATGCTTTTATATTTCGCTACGTATTTGTTCACCAAAGACTGAATTCGCTCAGGATCTATCGAATGACTGGAGTTGGCAACCTAAAATATTAAAATTGTTGTACGAGATCACACAAAGACATTACACAAAGTATTAAATGTCCAACATACGTTCGACGTAATGTGATTTATTTGCTTTTATAACTAAGAATACAAAGATAGTGCAAAGTTTCAGAAAAAACACCGTCTTTCGATCTTTTGGCTTGTGTAATTTGAATGAACCGTAAAATGTTTCAAGCATTTATTTCATTTCTCTATTCACACACGTATCATTTTGATATCACGAAGCGCGAGCATCTATTCACTTCACGGCAAATAAAAACATTTTTTATAAAACGTACCAAAAGCTACAGTCTAAAAAACTACTTGTTGTCTACAGTTTACATTTAGGCGATTTTTTAATTGTACACAGTGTAATGTTGTAATGTCTATGGTTGTGTATTGGGTAGTTAACTTTTGTGCAAATTGAGAGATTGCCTGTCCGATAACGGTGATTATAGGAATGAGTTAGAAATTGCATTTGTTGAAATGCACAGTCAGAGTTCATGGTCATGACAGTGACCATCTATGCACAGTCAGAGTTCATGGTCATGGCAGTGACCATCTATGCACAGTCAGAGTTCGTGGTCATGCCAGTGATCAACTAAATCTAACTGGCACAGCGCTTTTAACAAATTCCTTTATTCAAAGACGTTTAACGGCAACAAACAAATTTAACGATATTGCAAGTGCACAAAGCTTGTCATGCTCGATGAAATAAAAATACCAGTAAAATCCAATTCGTTTACTTGAAAGGATTTTTAGATTAATCGATTAGTAGCTAGTAACAGGATGATTTCTGGAGTAGGCCTGTATGTTTACAGATGCGCGTGCGCAAACCTTCTGCGTGGTATGTAAAAAAATGGTTGGGTATTGTCGAAAATTGTTCGGTTGCTAGAACGTCTAAATGAGAAAAGCATGGGAAGAGACACCGTACTCTAAACCTTCATTATAAAAATTTGCAAAAAACTGTTCATCTCAGCGCAAATGCGGTGTAATTAATCGTGTACATGATGCAATAAAGTCTAAATTCTTAGCAGAGTAACTTGAAACTCGACGAAGGTACAATTTGAAGATTTTGTGTGCGCAGTAAAGATGCGCATAACACAATTATGCTCCTTGAATTACAAAGAGTAGTCACTTGGAATCATTCTTACGTCTGTATATAAATTTTTATGTTCAACAGCAAAACTGTTCGATTTCAGCCCTCTGTCTGCAAATAAGCTTTAGTTTCACTATTGATGCGTTCGTGGTGCTATTTACGTAATTATTTACGTATTCATTTACGTAATCATTTACGTATTCATTGTACCGAGTACCTAGGCTGTTGCGGTATTCAAAAAACGGATATCGATGTATCGACAGTTTTTCAAATATTTTTTTTATATTTTTACGATATTTCGTTATACCGAAAAAACCAATTTTGATAAACCGATATTTCGATATACCGCAACAGCCTGCGAGTTTCTTATAAAAGCGACAGTTGACATACAGTACCGACCTCGAGTAACATGACATGACTCGCGAGTATCGAGTGGGCAAGTGACTCGCTAGTCAATTGCGAGTCACTCTCGAGTGACTCGCAATTGACTCGCGAGTCATGTCATGTTACTCGAGGTCGGTACTGTAGTAGCTATGACGTCATGTTATTTAATACAGCGAGCTCGTTCTAACCTGTGGTACAGCTCTCTTTAAAATCTTCTTGTATTCGTCTTTTGTGATATCTTTTTTCTTAAAATACACTTTAAGCGCTTGTTTCATTTCGTTCTCCACACGAGCTTGACGATGAACACGATCAAGAGCATCCTAAAAACATCAGATTGTCAAACATTTGCAACGTTCAATAACCGTTTGTAAACAGAACATCAACCAGATACTGGTTCAACGAAACCTGGACTGCGCTATCTACGCATTGAATAGTGATTTTGGTAACTGTTTTAAAAAAATCTCTTAAGAAGCAAAAAGTTACCGTCCAAACTAGACAAGATAGATAACATACCGTGTTGGAAGACATCGGTAGATTTCAGAAGTTCAGAATATAGGCTTCGAAATAACGCTGAAGAAAAATATGTCAAATTTTGTAGGCCATTTTTGTCGAAAATATTTTTGCCGGCTATTTTCATACTATATGCCTCCTGAAAAAAGTCGCTAAGATGCATGCAGCTACAGAAAACGTGGATGAAAATGATGGCGGAAATATCATTTTTTCGATTGCCGATGTCACAATAATATTTAGATATATTACTGTAAATTACATCAAGGGAAAAATACATATTTCTGCAAATTTCCTTTGCTTTGAAATCACAAATCGCCGGCAAGGTCCTGAGACAGCCGCCTATCGCGAGCAGCTGTTTCGAACACTGTCAACAAGGAACCCAAGACAAGAAAGCAATACTAACATGTCCAAGATAACCCAAGAAAGGAAAGCAAAATAAAACGATATAACAAAAATCCTACCTCGATAGCCTTTTTGTCTTTAGCTAAAGGTTTAGATTTCAACTTAGCAAGGGCCTTTTCCCTCTTTTCCTTATACCGTCTTTGTCGTTTTGCGTCTTTAAGGATATTTTTACTATTTGTATTGACGCCATAAGCTTGCACAATAGGATCATTGACAACCCTGTTTAATAGACTTGGAATGGTAGCACAATAATCTGGAATTTCCTGTTTATTTGAAGTCCACAATGCGTGATTACCCAATATATTTTTTGATGGTTGTTCAATATTAGTAGTTTGTTGAGATCTAACGAACTCCTGGTGAAGTTGCTCAATGATGTCGTCACCCGAGTTAAATCCTGTGTTATCGTTACCAGGTGACGATACATCCATATCAACGATTTCCAGGTCTCCAATAGGAGGCTCTATCTTTTCTAAAAACCCTTCAATTTTCTCTGCGGCTGTGACAACGCCCATTGCGTCTCGAACGATAGTGTTACGGGTTGATATATCAGAAAGACTTAACGTCGAAGATTTAGGCGAGCCCTCAGTACATACTTGTTCTTTCGTTGTCGTTGGCTCTTCGGGCGAATAGAGAGAATCTTCACCCAATGGTGAGAACTGAATTTTCTTGTTCTTACTTCCATCAGTAGTACTTCGCTGAATAGGTGGAGTATTCGAACCAAGAACGCGAGTAGAGGTATTTTCATCAACATTATCGCCTATTCCATCACGGTTGTTTGATAAGAATGGAATAGCAGAGTTTTCACTAACTACATTGTCGTTCATCACAGGCTCGACACTTTGATTGGATAGTTCATTGTCACTGATTTCAGAAAATTGATCAGTCTCGTATGGTCTGTTGGGTATATTTAAATGTGGCGTAGGAACAACCACCACTGAAGAAAGTTTCTGTTTTTTACTAACTAAAGGTTCTCTCCTTAAAGGACTCAACTTTCGGCCATTTTTTTCATCTTTTGGGATAGGACTTAATTTACCCCCTGCACTATTAGGGCTCGCCATACTACGATAACTCTTACTTTCCGTTTTAGTGACATTTGCCTGGAAATCAGGCTTCGAGGCAAAGACATCAGTATCATTAAACACTTCTTCATCATTCACGTCTTTGTTAGTAGTCGTAAATAGCAAATCTTCAAGTTCATCGTCCAAATTTTCAATTGAGTTAACAACAGACTTTTCTTTAGCAGGTTCTTTCTTCTTGCTCTTCTTTTGTGAATTTTTCTTTGATTTTTTTTTGCCTTTAACCTTTTTAACTAGATCTCCGTCGCCGCAAGTTTTGCTTACTTTTTCATCATCGCAGGTTAGGTCTATAAAATTGCTTGACTTCTGAGATTCTTCGGCAGATTTCATTTCTTTTTTAGTATTATTATGAAAATTATTATTAACTTTTAGCTTTTTTTCTTGGTTAGGACTTAATGATGCCCGGTTATTTGACGCAGATAAATTGGATAACTCCACTTCAACATCTTCCTGCTTTGAGACAAGACAAACTGTTCTTACAATTTTCTCTCTTCGTGGTTTGCTGCCACTAAAAGTTTTTGGGCCTGGCATTGCAGTTCCGTTTTTTTCGTTTCTTAAAATAGCGCTTTCTGTTTCATTCATAACAAAAGCATCAGATTTCTTAATCGGTGAAGCGCTGTGGGATTTACTTCTTTCACGAGACATTTCCCTGCGCATATCTCCTCTAACATAGGAGGATTCATTTCTTACTTCACTGGCAATGCGCAAGTTAGTGCCTAAGGTTTTATCTCCTTTACTCAAGCGAGCTGGAGTGCTGTGTATGTAAGGCCTCCTTGGAGGAGAATTAGATCTCCTACGCGGTATCCTTTCATTCGAGGATTTCCCACGTGACCTTCGGCGAGAAGGAGATCGTGATTCAAGCCTACGATTGGGTGACATAGCAAGCCATGGCCTACGTAATGGTGATCTACTACGAGATCGACGGTTCTCAGGTGATTCAGACCTGTTTGAAAATACACGTGATGCATTGTGGGAATTTTCCGGTGACGTATTTTGATTGAAGGATTTAGATGAGTGATGGCTTCCTGATCTCTTTCGACTACGACTACGACTCTCTCGTTTACGTTTCCTCTGACCTTTAATAACTAAAGGAAAACAAAATAACTACGTAAAGCTGTGAACAGGAATAGGAGTTTTTATAAATCGGAGCAGGAATTCAGGTCTCATGTCCAAACTAAAACGCCATTAGTGATTATATGAGTAAATGTTAAATTTTATTAAACGTCTTATCATGCATGTTCAACCAATGACAAAAAAAGCGAATATATGGGATTATTGTCTTGAAAAAGTAAAAACTATCATAGATACCGCTGGAAAGACGAACAGCTGGCACTTTACTAACTGCTCATTTGTTACATTCTCAGTTACCAGTGACGTCGAAGCGAGTTTTTTCTCTTCGGCATTGTCTGCACTCTTACAAGTTGGCTTTTATTAATTGCGTAGCTATTATAATAATTTGTCATTTTAAACACTGGCAGATTGCACCTGTGATACAATCCTTCAAACTAAAATCTCCTACGTACTGTATCATGCATGGCACAACGTGTTCATCAATCCATGAAACAAGAGTATTAAAAATACGATTTCTTCCATGTTGACGTAACGAATTTCTCAATAAATATAATTAGCTAAATTTCATGAATTTTCTGATATGAGACACATGCCTCTAACTCACATACTTGAACATTCTGCAAGTTTAAATTTCGTTAATTCACATGTGTAATAGGGTGAGTTGGGGCACATTTTATTTATTTCATACAAATTGAAGATGAAAAAAAATTCCAAACAGGAATCCTATATTGTTTATTTGAGTCTACAGACCCAGTTTATGTACATAATGGCTTTTATGTTTGAACGCAGGTCTTTGTTATCCTTTTTTTCAAAAAACCTCGCTTTTGAAAAAAAAGATTCCTTTTGTCATAAATCAGTAATTTTCCGCTTTTTGTGCCACGTTGAAGGCAGATTTCGCACAAATTTAAAGAACCACAACAAAAATAAAAACTTTTCCCACATTAGTTCACATTGATCTTTGAAGAAATTATGAATGATCCATTTCTCGAGAAAAATGAACCATGTTTAATTTGAAAATTTTTGAGAAACAATAAAAGTAAACATCGAGGTGTTGCTAGAACAATAATTAGGCACGGGGGTGCACATTCATACCACCTAAATTAACATTTCAACGGCTCTGACTCACTGCTCTGACTACATCTTAACAAGATGTGTTTAGGCAATGAGGCGACTGTTTCAATTCACCCAACGTTCACCCTTAGTCACGTTCAATGTGCCTACACAGAAAGCGGATGATTTTTTCACAAAAATACAAAGATGGCGAACATCTACTGTTCGTTCATTGTCATTTCTGTTCACCAAAACAAGTGTAATGAATGACATGCATTGTTTTCGAACAATTTCGAACGTGTCAATCGACAAATTGCTAAAATTTTTCAATTAAATCAGTTCATACTCGCAATAAGTTGAGTTACGTGTTCAAGCATTACATTAGTAGTGCTTAAACGTTAGTAGTGTTGTGCACCGGAGTACCGGAGCTCCGGCTAATTTTGTCTGCAAGAGCCGGTGTATAGCGGGGGCCACACTATCGTCGAAATGCAACGAGTTTCGTGACGAGTCGCTCGTCAACGAGCCGTCGTGACGAGTACATGTGCCACATTGTAACGATTTTCCGTACAAGCATGGACGATTATCAGCGCAAAAAGAAACTTCTATTATTGAAGAGAAAAATTCTACTGCTTCTAATTTCTGCAAAACGGCGTACATACAAAAGAAGGTTCTGGGTACATCCCATAAATAAAAGGCGAGAAGAGAAGGGCTTGTATGACACGTTGTTGCAAGAGCTTCGTCAAGCTCTATTGGTCGCAACTTTCAGTTCCCGAGCAACATCCTTCCAATTATTTTTCTTTATATTGCGTGTATCTTTATAGTCAGGATGAAATTCGTCCCACAAACATCGCCTCTCTCTCACTAGCTCAATTAATATTTCTAGCCAATCCGCCATTTTGCCACAGCACAGTGAAAGTAAACATTAGTCATGTGATTTTTCTTGTCCAATCAGAGTAGATATGCAACAATTACTCGTCACTCGTTGACGATTTCGGTGTGCATGCTCAACGGCGACGAATTCGTCCATATCGTCATATTTTCTCGTTGACGAGCGACTCGTCACGAAATTCGTTGCATTTCGACGATAGTGTGGCCCGCGCTTATGTCTAGCAGCTGCTGTTTGTGCCGCAAAATACTGTCAGACTTTGGCAAACGTATACCATCAAAACATTTTTGTTTCAACGAACGATAACTATCAGCTGAAATTGTAGAGCTTGCATGAAAATAGAACGTTTTACGCATGACACAACATGACGCTAGATTGCTTTTAAGGTACGTTTACACACAGCGATTTGTCGGGCCGACACTGACGCCATATTACGTGTTCTTGCCATAAATGGAAAATTTGTCGTGTAAGACAAATCGCTGTGGGTAAATATTGCATCCGATGTATTTACACGATTTCGAAAGCTGAAAAAGAAAACAAACAGATCAAAGAACAGTAGCAAAGCAAAATTAAAACTTGTCACTGTGGCTACGGAGGCAATGTATATCATTACTATTGTCTCAAAAAATAAAGAAGAAAATAAAATAAAGATCGGTGTGGGTTGAGTGCAAATAGAGGTAAATTTGCTCATTTCTTTTTCAGAAAATACATTTGACTTTTTTCTTTTTCTGAATCTCTGCAGCTTTCGGTTTTCGATAAAAGCAACAACGCTTTCAACATTTTCTTTTTCCGTGTCGACAGAAGACATTTCGATATTTATTTTTCGACAATCATAATTTGCTTGTTCTGAAACGATACAGTACCGCTCGCGTCTTTGTTAACATAATTTTACGTATCATACGCGTTTCATATCGATCGTTACAATGTGGCACATGTACTTGTCACGACGGCTCTTCGACGAGCGACTCGTCACGAAACTCGTTGCATTTCGACGATAGTGTGGCCCCCGCTATACACCGGCTCTTGCAGACAAAATTAGCCGGAGCTCCGGTACTCCGGTGCACAACACTACTAACGTTTAAGCACTACTAATGTAATGCTTGAACACGTAACTCAACTTATTGCGAGTATGAACTGATTTAATTGAAAAATTTTAGCAATTTGTCGATTGACACGTTCGAAATTGTTCGAAAACAATGCATGTCATTCATTACACTTGTTTTGGTGAACAGAAATGACAATGAACGAACAGTAGATGTTCGCCATCTTTGTATTTTTGTGAAAAAATCATCCGCTTTCTGTGTAGGCACATTGAACGTGACTAAGGGTGAACGTTGGGTGACTTGGAACAGTCGCCTCATTGCCTAAACACATCTTGTGGGCCACAAGTTTTTCACACTTGTTGTGTCACGTGTTACCCTCTTTTAATAAAGTTTAATCAATCAATCAATCAATCAATTTCATACGCGTACCGTATGTTAACAAATACGCGAGCGGTACTGTAGCAACATAATGAAAATCGGGAACAAATCTGTAGTTTGTTACAGATTTTCATCCGATTTTTCGCGTCGGGCGACTTTCCAAATATAGCAAGAACACGTAATATGGCGTCAGTATCGGCCCGACAAATCGTTGTGCGTAAACGTACCTTTACACATGCTAATTTATGATTGAAAGTAGGAGTGCAAATAGACAAAAATTTTACTAATAATTCACCTTAAACTGTTAATAAGTGACTTGCAACATTAACCAGCCAAAACGATATATTCGAGTGATAAAATAGCCGGAGTTTAAAGCCGGAGTTCAGAATTGACAAGAGGCCGGAGACGGAGGCATAGCTGAAAAACCGGAGTTTGCACAGCACCGAACTCACCTCATTCTATGACAGTAAGTTAACATGTCGCTAATTACCATTACCATACCGAAATATTACATGAAGTATCGCTACATACCGTTAGTTTTGTCTTCAGTTGTGTCCTTTTTTCGACGTTTTTTCTTTTTCTCGCTTTTGCCGTTTTTATCAGATTTCTTGTGTTTCTTGCGCCGTTTCTTTTTTTCTTTATGTTTTTTAACTTTTGCACCCGTATCCTTGTCATGAGATGGAGTAAGGACATTATCATCCACATCTAATGTACCAATATCAATGTCTGCATTAATCTCCAAGATGTCCTCCTCACGCATCTCATTATTTACATTATCTTCATTATTTACAGTAGCACAATTCGCCAAATCCTTTTGGTGGTCATCAGTTCTATCTTTATCCTTTTCACAAGCGTTTAAAGCTTGAGAAGTTTCACTTTGAGCATTAAAAGCAGCTTTCCCTTGGTTAGAAGTTACAGCGTTAACCGGTTCATACACACTTTCTCCTTCTTTTGCTCCGTTTTCAGCAGAAGAACACACTGACGTACCAATTGCTTTGAATTTGGAATCAACAACAGTTTCTTTCTTGATTACAGCAGCTCCAGCTTTAAAACCATTTTTCAAATCTTCACCTGCATTTTGCTCTGAAGTAGGACCATATTCATCTGGTTCGGCCGTCATTATTGCAAATGGATCACTAACATTATATTTTAAAGGATCCCCAATGGTTTTTTCTTGGCTACTTTTGACTTTGCTACCTCCAACATCCTTACTAACGACGGCTGAAGTTGATTTTGATGAGCTAAATTTTCTTACCGGTCGCTTTTTCTTCGTGACGACAATGTCATCAAAAATGGGGGCATCTTTCAGAACTGCATTTGAAGTGGTAATTTGAAAAGGTGTGATCCTCGGTTTCGTTCCATTTCCTTTAGCAGCATTCATGATTCATGGAGTTGGCAAAACTACATTGGCTCTAGATACACGCAAAAAAAATATTCACATGTCATCAATACCTATGTACTGCTTTCAAACAATTCTATAAATCAGGATGGTCGTCATGGTCTAAATGATGATAAATGTGGAAAATTTTGATAATTGCTGAGTTGTAGAATAAAATTTCGATTAATTTAACCAACTTAGTTTAAAATATTGTTAACTGCATATGGTTTAAAAAATTATGATAGCTGTTCCAACTCCAAAAATTAAATAAACAGTGTACAAAGCCACCTCTAAAGCCATAATCTACAAATTTTTCATTAAATCAACATTCTTTTCTTTAGCAATTTGTTTATGACACGTGTTAACAAAACCATAAGGTCATGCACAACAAAGCATAAAAAAAGCAACAAATTTTACTGACAACATACATAGAAACCCTAAGAATAAGATTAAATCCACAATGGCAGGTTCATTCTCAAAATAAGTTCGCAATAGCTGAAAACAATTGCTTATTTGCTTAGCCGAATGACGATTCTCATTGTTGAGTTATATCACCATCATTTGGGGCACAAATGTCACAAAGCACAAATAAACATAAACTGACAAAAATTAGTACATGACAATAAAGTGAATGGTTTGAACATGTGAGTATCGCAACATGTTTGTAAGGGTGCAGAGTCCCAGAGAAGGACTGTTGATGTTAGTGTTGACTGATCATTTGAAATCATTTGAGAAGTCATTTTCATACCTGATGCCAATTCTGACATTTACTTCTCACTTGACTCAAAAGATGGCTACCTGGACGATCTACCTTTTATCTACAAACATGTAACAATACTCCTGGGTTTAAACCAATCACTTTAAGCATGACTCGATACATCAGACGACCAATGCTAAGTACTCAAACAAACAGAGTGGAATAAGATATTTTTTGGTTGTCAAACAAAAAGCTGATTAACCAAACATAGCTCCAACTATTCTGATCTACATTAACATCTTTTTAGATTTTGAAAAAAGTGGTTATTTTATGAGATTTTCGAAATCACAAACATACATAGATGAATTAAATATATAAAACAAAAATTACAATGCAGACTCTAACTTCATGGATGCAAAATTATTAAATAAATTATACTGCTGAATGCTTGGTATCTGATATTTCCACAATTATAGAAAATTGATGAACAACCCTGGTTGTACAAAACATACATATACAAATCTTATTTTACAATGACAACTAACGAGAACTTATCTTGCCAAAATGTCAATTATCACATCAAGTTTCAAATTGGGAAAGCTGCAGTTACATACATGATTTTGAAATGAGATGTTTTTTGTGATAAACAAATTTTCCCTTTTGGTTTTCTTAGTTTGAACATAGCAAATAGCTCTATGTATGATTTATGTATTAGAATACATAAATTAAAACAAATTTAATGTTTGATATCTTTATGCATGATATTGGTGGAAGTATACGACTCTTCCATTATTATCTATGATGTTGAATTTGGTTATACAGTGTGCAAATGACAACCACGAATTCATCAAAAATGTCAAAACATGTACATATAGAATCAAATACTTACAGCTTATATTACAATGCAGTTTTGTCTTTTCTTACCCTCTTAAACTAAATGTAGAAGTAATACACCTAAAAAGTAAAATTGTTAAGATTACTGAATGCTGAATGATATTCTGTAATTTAGTAGATAATAAGTCAACAGCTCAAAAAATTGAAGTAGATGATATAATTCTTAATAGTTGACATTTCTCCCACACAGCGAACAAGCAGCAGTTGTACTGAGCAATTTTGAACTAATAAATTTGCCTCGTAGTCGTATACAAACTTTTCTAGCATCACAAAGCTAACCTGAATAGACAAAGGAATTTAAAGAAGTGATTATTAATTGAAAGACTGAGAGTCCCTTACAATAAACCAATAAACATTGAATGTATCACGAGCACGGCGGAACTTTCCCCTTAGTTACTTTCTATAATGATCGAAAAAGTTTGTATTCATTACCAAGGATAGATGACTATAAATTTAATAAACATCACTACATTCTTACAAGGTGCCGCTATAAGGTATTAAAAATTAACTTAATAAAATCACGCATTTTAAATTGCATCCACAATATTCAACATATATTGTATTGTATATTCAACCTGTCTATTCAACAAAAATTAACTTACTGCGCCAAGAAAAATCCATGAAATTGTTGAAGTTCCTCATTTCAAAAATACAATGTGTTATGTTTGCCATATTGAATCTGAGACGTGGTTGATGGATAAATATGGATTCTCAGGGATACCAATTGGCAGCTGTTTCACTATCATACGTCAATCCGAAGAACATTGTTCTTCGGATTCCGAAAGAACAATGTCCATTCCGATCTCATGTTGGACTCGTCCATCGAGAAAATTTTTATGTGAATTCTAATTTCTATGAAAATAGGGGCTATAAAAGCTTACTAGCTAAAACAGCAAAACATTGCTTTAAATTAATATGACGACACTCAAGAGTCAAGAACCATGTCCAGCCGACAATTTAAAAAAATATAGTAAAAAAAAAATTCCGAAGAAACAAGAGATCTTGAGATTACAAAATATGAATCAGAATAAGACGAGAAGTAAACAGTAAATTGTCGACTTTATTTCAAAGTCGTCCTCAGACAGAATGATATTTGAAACCATGCATACACCTATATATTCGCAACGCATGAATTAAGTAACGGAAGACAAGCAATAGAAATGAAATAATGTGATATTTACAAAAGCGGAGTTACAGCAGAATTAAATAGTGTGATATTTACAAAAGCGGTGTACAGCAGAATTAAATAGTAGGGTATTTACAAAAGCGGAGCTGACCATACTGACGAAGTCGTTCACTCCACAGCCAAAACAGTCATGTGACTAACTCGAAACATAAAGAAACCTTTCAAAATGTACAAGAGTGAAGTTTTATGTAAAGAAGCCTAATTATAATTTACAATAGCAATGGACACAGCATAAATTATACGTTGAGTTGCATGCTATTACAATGAACAGTTGCAGTAAGCAGTGAGAAAGTAGTTTCGATTGAATTTTTTACATCTAAATTTTGACTTTATAAACAATATAGAAAACAAAGTTTGAAGCAATGTGATGGGGAATAGATAGACTGATAGAGCTAGGTACAAAAAATTATTTCCTACTTGGTCGGAATTTTTTTGTCAAAATACTCCATTCCTTACAAGTAGACTAAAAATAAGCTTCATTCCATAAAAGAGGCTAAAATTTAGCGTAGTTTCTCACAAGATGTTAAAAAAGTTCGTCGTTACTCACAAAAAGCTAATATCGAGCGCCATCGTTTTAAGATGGTAAAAATGAACGTCCTTTCCTGTCAAGATAGTGAAAATTAATGCACTACATCTCGATTGACTAATGAGAGCACTCCTTTAAATTTTATGGTAAGGCCACACAGGCACATTTTGAATTTTTTTGATGAGATCACTTCATCAAATACAAACAAAATGACAGAAAGCCCTTAAAAATCATTCCACAACAACGTCAAGTTGCTACAATTTACAATAAAGTTACAATTACAATACATATATAACCTTTCAGCGTTTCAAGTGGTTTTTTAATTCAAATGCAATCGTAGTGCTTCCACGTCTAGTATTTGGGTAAAATCGTGAGGATATGGTTTTTATGACGTAACTAAAAGTTCTGTTCCTACCAAGGGTATTAATATATAAAATTCTACAATTTCTATTGGGTAATACTTTCTATTCATTCAGTTTATCTCCCAAAGTGCACGATCATCATAATTATGATCTGACATCACGCACTTTAAGGATACTGACCAACCACCTTCCATTCCCACTGGTTTTTCTCCTGTGCTCAAAATAAATCGAAAATTCACCATGCTTTGTATCAGGTAAACATTTTTTTGAAGCACAAGTCTCCAATGTATACGATTGTCGTTCTTTTTGTAGGTACCCACGACAGGATTCGACTCATTTATCCCTCTTTCGCAGCCGTAATCATCTGTCATCTTCTGTCAAGTTAAGTAAAAGTATTGTTTAGCCGCACGATTTTCAATTATATATATACTGTGGCTATGTTTTATAATTCTCCATTGCCCAAGATTATAATAGTTTGCGTCGGAACCAACAACAAAATATTTATTTGAAAGCCCGTACTTGGTGGCAGAAATACTGGTAGAAAATAGTAATCTTTTATTTTTCACAATTCGTATTTGATACCAAGCTGGAACAAATAAGAAATTTATCGTTGTAACGAACGTTCCATATTGGCTAGGAGTGCTTAAAGTATAATCGCGTTTAAATCAAATCAGTAGAGCAGAGCTGAGTATATGAATTTTCATTCCTCAACTTGCGTTTTAGTTTCACTCATACTGAAAGTATGTGGGAAAAATCTATAAAAGAAGTCAACAACTTGTGTATGGAAGTTCGGATACTCTGATCTACAGTTATTTCTTGTTTAGAAAATTGCTTCGATAGATGTAAATCAGGGGTCTCCAAACTTTACAGCCAGAGGGCCACATGAACTTTCATCCAGCTTGTTGAGGGCCGACGAATAGTATACCGCTTGTCAAAGAGAGAATATTTTAATAAAACGAAGTATATAACAAAAGCTTCATTAGTTAAGAAAATATTTATTCAAAATTTAAAGGTTAAATTTCAACCAAGTGTAATATCATAACAAAATTACAATTAGTCTGTTCAGTTTTCTCAATGTGAATGGTGAAATTGGCTTTCTTAAGTGTCTCTGCGGGCCGGATTAAGAGGCCCAACGGGCCGCATCTGGCCCGCGGGCCGTAGTTTGGAGACCCCTGATGTAAATAATGTTGCAGAACACATTTCAAGTAAAATTTTAAAAAATTCGTACCTCTCCAGCTCAAAACTTTTGACCTTTCATGTAGTTTACTTCCATTATCAAAATATATATATTTCTATGTGTGCATTTGCCTGGTGTGCTAATTACGAATGAAATTAAATAAATTTCATCACCTTTTTTAAATTCGCCGTCAACAAGATTCACGCTTGCATATAAAAAGGCTCTCACCTAAAAAACCACAGCTTCATATATTGAAGTCATCATTTTTTATTTCTATGAAAATTATGGCTCTCAAATCAACGTTTTATAACTTAAGCTTTGTTTAAATTAAACTTTTGCTTCAAACGTATTTTTTAATACAACTAAGCTAGCAAGAAAGTAACTTTTCGCAAATTTAAAAGAAACTATAATATCGAATTGAATATTTAAGTGTGGAATGACAATGACAATTCATTTATTGACCTTTACAAAAAAAATGTGGATGTCATTGATTTCATTTCAGAAACAAGATTGACAAGATCATTTATACTATAAAGTTCAAAGACATAAAAACCTTTAACGACCTAACTGAATATTTAAAATAATTAAGAAAAGAACGTACTGGTATTTTTTCATAATAATCGTTTCCAACGTATTTTATAAGGTCACCGTGTTGGCTGGATCTTTTCCTTTCATTTAATTCACAAGTTAATTTGTCTTCACAGAAATTGAAGGACTTGCACTTCGGCCTTTCATTCACACACAAGTGAACGCACTCAAACAAGCTTCTTACGTAGTTTTTATTCTTAATACCGTTAGCCAGACAATGGTCTGTAAATCAAATTAAATATAGCGGAAGGAACAAAGAGGAAGAACAATTGCAGTGCAGTTATGATGAATAATATAAACAAATGAAGAATCACATCTTATTTGCTGGAATATGAACTGTTGTTGTAAATGGTAGCCAAATGAAATAAATTTGTAGTTTTGTAGTTTTTGTCCACCATTGCTAATCGGATAAACGCCGTGTTTCATTTTATGCGTAACGAACATACAAACGCATCAAAAAATTTCAAACAAGGAACTAGCAGTTAAAAATTCTAAACACCAAGCTGATTACGGTCTTGATATGATAGAAGTGATATGGAGAATGGCCTGAAGAGTTAAAACCTGCTATAGCTCTAGTAGTTACAGTATATAATCACAGTTGATTTTATTTTCTATAAAATAAAGATGGTAATTGAATTATTTGGTGTCGTAGCTACCTTTGGCAACCTTCACAAATAAATCCTCTTCGTAGCATTTTTCTGCTTTAGTCACACTCCACATGAGATACGGAATGAGAATAACAAAAATTTGTCTGCACAGCAAACCATTTGCAACTGCTCTTTTCTCCCTGCATAACAACTTTAAAAGCTATAAAAACTTTTCATAATTCTAAAAGGTCTTGAATGAAGTTAAAAGTGAGATTTGCATTTACTTAAGAATTCAGAATGATAAAAGATGTATCAAAAACAGTTAGAAAAATCAAAAATGTTTGAAAAACTATGAATTTTCAACATTTCTCAAAAATGCGTTCACGTTTAAATATTTATGCCAAACTTTTTGCTTATTCAAATTGAAGTCGATATTGTTATTACGACATTCAAACAATCAATAATGCATGAATCATACTTAAATAAGAAAAATGTACACGAGCATAAAATAAAAACAAAAAACGGTTGTTTTTGAAATTTTCTAAAATTTTGGTGCAATGCACAACAGACTTCAAACTTTTACCCAGACAAAGTAAATTAGATTTGCCGGAAGTGACACTTTTAAAATCATACTGTTAATAAACGCTATGGACATTCGTTTCTTGTTATTTTTTTTAAAGAAATACATAATAAGGCGTTGTTATTTAATATGAAAATTAGATCTGTTGATCGTAAGTGGCCTCTCTTGAACAGTAGTAACGCATTTCTTGCATTATGAAACTTGAAAAATGTTTTCTATTCCTCAATTACTCAAACTATGACATAATATTGTTGAAGATTTTGATACTTTACCTAGCTATGTCCTTGCTTGCTATTAATCTATAGGCAGACTATTGTCTTGCAATGTGCAATACTTTTAGTATAATGACTGAACTCAAGGTGCTATGTATAAAATTACATTAAACAACAAATAAGATTCCTGTCATATCATACTTACATTTTTATGGGAATGCGAAAATGTATAACAAATGAATTCAGATGATCTCTCAATTACCGACGAATGTATTTGGCTAAATGAAGAATATAATAACAAATGTTTGAAAACTAATAATGAGCATTATATATAAAAGCATTGTTACTTAACAAGAAAAAACTTGGAGAAGTATTTATAAAATGTGCAATAGTCTCATTTCAAAATTTCATCTCTACAAGGCAACGACGAAATAAATACATTCATGCATCTTCCGTTTTATCAAAACTGACGAATGAAACATGATAAAATAAAAAAGTGGCAAGTCTTCAAATTTCATGTTTTAACTGCATTCTTGTTTAGAACTTACTTTTTAGTTTGATGTTGCTGTAAAAGTATTTACGTAAAGAAAAAAATCGGTAAAATTATTTGCTACATAGCAACAATTATCTAAAACACAACTAACAAGAGCTCACAAGAGTTATACAGCATTTAACAATTTTTACGCGTTTTATAGATTTTACATTTATTTTCGGCATTTCATGTCGTCTCATTTCGAAATTAAATAGATAGAAAAATAAGGCAAAATAAATATATTCATGCGTCTTCCATTTTATTATATCAAACTGACGAATGAAACCTAACAACACAAAAAAGTGGCAAATCTTCTAACGAATGTATTTTGAACGACAATAGATTTTGTCTATTCTTGTTTAAAACTCACTTTTTCGTTCGAAGTTGTTTCAAAACAGTCTTCCTGTTAAATGAGTTAAGTGAATAATTTTTTACTAATGTTTGTAAGTTGATCCATGAGGACTTTCAAAATTTCCAATCAAATTACTGAAATTATAACATATTTGTTTGTTGTGGCCAATAAGAAAACTCCATATACGTTATAGGAATCATAAAATATTTAAATTAAGTCTGACATGCACCTGCCTTGCGCTGTGAGTCTTGTGAAATTTCAGAGCAGGCTGAATGAAATTTCAAAAATCTCTTAATTAAGAAATGACAATTTTCAGGTATTTTAAGACTGATGATAATGAACTTGTAGAGATCAAACGCAAAATCGGAATACGGAATGCAGGAGCAGATTCTTGAAACGGAATCTAGAAGTGGATTCTGCAAATGGAAATAAAACATTGTTTTACGAATGAGGACAAAGTAGACAATCAACACGTTTTCACTCAAAGGTTGAATACATATGATCTAATTGAAGATGTTTGGACGATTTTAAATTGCAAAATGCGATGCTTAAATTTCTAAGTGTCAAACAAGACAAAAGAATGCTGAAGATCGGAATCATGAGCGAGATTCTGAAAAAATAGAGGAAGCTGCGTAGTTACGTATGCAGAGGAAGAGGAGTCAATAGCATTGCTATTGAAAAACATTGCAAAAAACTTTCTTTTGAAAATTTAAGATATCAAAAGAAGGAGGAAGACAAAGAGATAATGTGGTGAAAGGAAGAGATACAATAAAGTTTTAAACAAAAAAAAGAAAGAAGTTGAAAAAACAGAGAGATTTTAATCAGACGAGGCTAGAGAGGACGAATATACTATTTCCATATTACATACGTAAGGTATGCTTTGGTTACCTTGAGCCACTTACTGAAATAAGAAAAGTCATTCCTAGTTTGCCATTTTACATCCATTTCATTTGACAATTGAAATTTGAGAGGGCAAAAAGCAGAGGATGGTGCATGGCTACCAAAAGAAACAAATCTCACTTCCACATGTTTAAAGGTCATGTTCGCATCTCCAACCCTTAAACTAATTTTTGACGTTTTTCCTTTATGCCTAACTCCTCCTTCCCCTGCTCCTAAACAAAGTACGTACAAAGCAAACTATTTTAAAGCATAGAAAATATTCTGCCTATCATTGATTATATTTTGTAGAATGAGCTGTATATTTATCTCCATTGAAATCAAAAAAAGTTTTCAGTCTTTTAGGAAATACTTTTCTATGTAAACTGTTTCTTTACTTAGTTTAATGATTTCTAACATGCAGTGATGAAGGTTTTTCAATTCTTTGATAGTGTTTGTCCAGCTTCCATTTACAATATGATATCATCAATGTGTACAGCCACGATTTTAAGACAACCTTTATAAATTATGCTATCTTAAATGAACATGAATTAATCATCAGTGGTGCTTGGTGCAAATCCTGATAACACGAATTACCACATCACTGCCTCTTTTAAAACCTTATAGCAACTTTTAAGTTTGTATTTGTGGCAAAAACAACAATAAACGTTTGGCTTTTGCTTCAGAATTCTTTTAAAGAACCCAATTCTTGTAATAGTGTATACTATTTACAATTAGAATACTATATGCTTAACATAGCATTACTGATTTCATATACAAAATTTCGTGTTTCTTGATCTTGATCACTATTATAAGTTGTAACTTATAACTTAATATTTTAATATTTTTTCTTTTTGAAATTATAGCTATTATAAGTTGTAACTTATAACTCAGTATTTTAAGATTTTTTCGTTTTGATCAAAATGAAATTATAGCTATTACGTTCTTTGTTGAATTTCTTTTTATTAAAGAGGCAGTTCTTAAAATCTTCCATGGTTCAACTGCTTGAATTTGGCGCAGGCGTCTTTTAAGTATTAATTTTGCGTAGTGTAATTAGGAATGATTTCGAAAATATAGATGAAAATTTGTTTGATTCAATGATTATCTGATCGCAGCTGGAGATTAAAAATTTGTGCAGAATGTATTCAAAAAAAATTCACTAGACATATAAGAGGCATAAATGAAGTTTACACGACAATGAGGAACATTGTCGAACATTGAGAGGCATAAATAAAGGAACATTGAGAGGCATAAATGAAGTTTACACAACTTTATGAAGTTTATTATTCATAATTGATTACTATAATCTAGAGTTTTCTATCATTTCTAAGAACATGATCTACAGACATAACAATCGTGAACAAATTTGAAATAAGCAAAGGGGCACAGTTCATTTATGTTTTGAAAATTTAAAAATTTGCCTCATATAATATGTTTCTTCTACTTGCAAATAATGTGAATACTTAAATATTATACACATGCCTTATAGGACTCAAAAATTTCCTCATTTAGTAAAACATACTTATTATTCAGGCTAGTGGTCACGAATGAAGCATATTTTAAAGAACGTATCCAATCTGAGCCTATTGGAGATGCCGTAGTTATACCAATTGGACGGTAGACCACGTTGTTTCTATTTACTCCATAAACGTCATCAACTTCTCCAGCCTTAAAGACGCAAAATTTTGAAGACTGTATTAAAAATACTTAATCAACATTTTAATTTTGAGTATATCATGAGGTCTTTTGTCTGTAAATGTTCACAACACCCTGTGTGAAAAGAAATTACCTTTACAAATATGTATAAAGTTGCCCAACGCCTTTATGTAGGAGTAATAATTTTGTAATATCACAGCATGTTTTGCAAAACTTTTGAGTCATTTTTTAAAATTTTTTAGCTAATCAGATTAAAATCTACTTGTTGCAATGCAATTGATAGTAGCTATGCGCATCATTTGTTTCAATTTTTAAAATTAAATTTGATGATTTACAAACCTCAACTTGCTTAAGGCTTCCTTCGATACGAGTCCTACTTGTTCCAGCACAATTCTGCACTGATACACCTGAACGATAGAAAAGTTGGTCATTTTGTGTTACCCCCCAGCATCCCAAGGCACCGCAACTGACGTATTTAAATGAACCATGGAGGCGTTGCCATTTTGTTCCTTGAGGCTTATCAGATGAGATGCCTAACAATAAGTTAATAATTTTTGGTAAAATATTGCATGTACTTATTGTAACTCCACGTGCTTTATTTGTGGATGTCAAATGGAATGAACTGATTACTTTTATTTTGCATTAATTAGGTATTTCTTGAATATGACATATGCACCTGGTTTTCCACTTTTACAAATCATAAAAACATTGTAGCTACTCAAATAAAAATTTTCAAACATCAGCAATTTGCTTTATATATATTATACCAGGATTGGACAAAAAATATCTCCCCTTAAAATAAAATTCTTGTTCAGGTTCCTTGCTCATCATTCCTAGAGATTAGGGCTTACTATTGAAGAATATATAAAAGAAAAACGTAATGTTGACATAGGTAAACTGTAACTACAATCAAACAATTAAAAGAAATATACTAAATTCAATAAATAGAAAGTAGATTGTTAACTTCGTGCTGTTGCTTTTTGCAAATCACAATTAATCCAGAGAAACGGATGTCCTGTAGAAAAATAAAATTTCCTTTGTAAAATTACTTAAAAACTTGTTTTTATTCGTCGTTGGCAGTGTCTTAAAGTGTATGGCAGCATTGTAACGAACACAAACATAAGGTTCGAATTATAATTCAACTGGATCGAATTTTTTTATTATCAAACATATCAAATGTCTTGAATGTGCTTTTCGTTTCTGAAGATTATCCAAGCAGTAAAATAAGTTGGTTTTTCAAGCCAGCCACGCACACCCATTGATTTATTTAACTAAAGACGTATTTGAAATTTTTTAGCTAGCTACTTTTTTGTTTTACGTCATACCTATACGACAATAAACTTTATTAATTCTGTTCACTCCATATACAATCCCTTTTGGAGCAGAATCGATTTGTTTCAGATTTCCATTTGTAATTTGCCAAGAGTCCCGCAAACAGAAATAAATTTCATCAAATTTATTTACTCCCCACACACCTGCTGCGCCAACAGAAACGTGTTTTGGTTTGCCAGGAATATGAGTCCAAGAATAATCTTTGTTATGGCGGTAAATATTGTTATTGTTGTTCACATCCCATACACCCTCAGAAAGACCGTGATCAATTTGTTTCAGCGAGCCTGCAATCAAGTGGCTTTGTTCTGTAAATGCAAAATAAAAAATAAATTGAAATATTTTATCAGCTGCGACGTTTCTATCAGCTGTTTATTAGCTGCGACGATCTATTTCTTATTTCTTTCAAGCTCGGTACACATACGAAGCGTAAGAAATGAGAGATTGCTATTTTCTACCAGTATACCTGCAAATAATGGCAACCTTTCACAGAAATATGTTATTATTGGTGCCAAAGCAAATTATTACTATCGAGGATCATGGAAAATTAAAAAACAAGGGCACAGTACCTATATCCTTGGAAATTATAAAACCAAACATTACTTGTACTCAACTGGACAAGAAATAACTGGTGATTATGGTTGCGAAAGAGGAATAAATAAATCAAATCTTGCCGTGGGCACCCTCAAAAAGAATGAAAATCGTATACATTGGAGACTTATACATCACAAAAATAAAATCTACTTTATTCAAAGCATTGTGAATTTTCGATACATTTGGAGTACTGGAGAAAAGCCAGGGGCAGAAGAATCTGGTTGGTCGAATAATCCAAAATGTGTTATGTCAGATGATAACTATGATGACCGTGCACTTTGGGAGATTAACTAAAGTTCAAAATATACTGCTCAACTTTTTAATCGTGGAAATTCATGTACTATTTTATATCCATGGAAAAATATGACATTTGTTGATTGATTAAAATTCATATTCTCATCAATGTATGCAAATCTAGTAATCACAAATGTGCTGTCGTGATTTCAACACTAGAAATCATGACAGCACATTTGTTACAAAAATACTTGAAACACTAGAAGGGTATGTTGTACCTTGAGTGTGATAGAAATGTTTGCAAACTATTTTTATTTAATCTTTCGCATCCATTTCAGTAACTTCACATTTTTACAAGTAAATTGTGGATTTTCAGCTTAATTAATTAAAAAAATAGCACAGTCTATTGTTGTATTGAGAGTTTTTTTGAATTTCCAATATCAAGAAACCTTTGATTTCTGAGATATTTCTTGTAAACTTGAAGGTAGTTGAAAAAAATGCTCATCTGTTCGTACACTTGTGAGCAAAAAAATAACTAGCTGTAAAAACAAAAGAGAAAATCAAATAATGTAATGTTAAAAATAACTAAATTGGGTATAAACAAATGTGGGTATTTGAGTTTCAAAACTAGTCAAGTCCAATGGTCTTTAAAACATAATGTGTAATAGTAATATGCAGCAGTATTGACAAAAAGCATTCATTGATCACGGTCTTGTATGTTTGGTTAACATCTTATTGTGTTTACCAGCAGCCAACCAGTCCTTTTTGGTGGTAGCCGATGGTGGAGGAGCTGTCAGTTACAAATTGGAAAAGGAGCCTCTTACCGGTTAAAATAGTGAAATGGTGATAGGGTTATGGTTAGGGTTAAGAGCCGTTGGAAACCTCGGGGACGTTTGTGAGAAACTTTCGAGCAGGTGCAACCTTACTTTCGACCTTTGGTCTCTGGCTTGCACCAATCTGCTCCCGAGTTCTCCCAAACGTCTCCTCAGTTTTCATAAGCCTTTGCAAACACAGTAAACATCTTTTATTTCTTAAATAATTAAAAAGAAGCATAAATCTTTTTCATTCTTTTGTTGTAATCTGTCAACCCAAAAAACTCATTAAATGTCGATCGACTGGAATAAAAAATTGATGTCGTCAAAACAATTTCAAATTCTTATTACGATGAAAATATACTTTAAAAAAAGAGATATATGCGTTATTTTTTATGAATTATACTACTCTAGCGCTCTTGATTCTTTTTTATGTCTCGAGAGAAAAAAGAGAGTTATGTTTTTACAGTGCAAACAAATTTGTACAATTTTCTTTTTGTTTGAGTTGTGGAGCACAGTTGATGGAGAAACATGTGGTGCAAAAGAAATATTTAAGTTGGTTGCCAAAGGTAGAATACTATTTCAACTCCATTTTATACCTTTATAGATAAGTAAAAGACAAGTAAAGTTGATATAATCTCATATTGCACGATATAAAAGTATTTATTTTATGTAGCTGTTATGGACAATTAATTTGCCGCAATTTGCATTTTGAAATTTCACTGAAAATCAATTTTCGCATAAAAGAAAATCGGTGCTTTAATAATTATTGTTATACGGCAAGCGTCGCTTCCGGTAAAATGGCGCGATTTGATTGGCTGAGAAACATTTTTATCTGTCCATTATTTTCCCGTAATCGACCACGGCTCAAAATGTGTAATTTTACTTTTAAATGTAAACAAACTTCGTGATGCAAGCAGCAAAACGCAAAATGAAAGAAACAATAAAACCATTTACGAATGTGAGTCGAAGAAAAAACACTCGGAAAACAGTTTAACTATGCAAACGATACAATATGGAGTGGAACAATAATGAAACAAACGATAAGAGAACACAAGAGGATATTTATGCACGAATGTGAGTCGAGGGAAAAACACTCGGAAAACAGTTCAACTATCTAGACGATACAATATGGAGTGGAACAATAATGAAACAAACGATAAGAGAACACAAGAGGATATTTATGTACGAATGTGAGTCGAAGGAAAAACACTCGGAAAACAGTTAAACTATCTAGACGATACAATATGGAGTGGAACAATAATGAAACAAACGATAAGAGAACACAAGAGGATATTTATGTACGAATGTGAGTCGAAGGAAAAACACTCGGAAAACAGTTAAACTATCTAGACGATACAATATGGAGTGGAACAATAATGAAACAAACGATAAGAGAACACAAGAGGATATTTATGTACGAATGTGAGTCGAAGGAAAAACACTCGGAAAACAGTTAAACTATCCAGACGATACAATATGGAGTGGAACAATAATGAAACAAACGATAAGAGAACACAAGAGGATATTTATGTACGAATGTGAGTCGAAGGAAAAACACTCGGAAAACAGTTTAACTTTCCTGACGATAAAATATGAAACATTTTATTTTTTATGGACGAAAAACAGAAAAGTGAAAGCCAACCAATGAAAAACAGCAAGTACGAGAAAGAAAGCAAGCTTGGTTTCAGATCATATAATAAGACTTTTAGTTACCTCGCTTTCTCGGTCTTTACTGAGGAATATCGGACCTCTGTCTTTTTTTACAAACCTCACCCTACGGGTTCAGTCTGTACAAAATCACCTCGGTCCGATATTTCTCCGTAAAGACCTCTCGTTCGGTTAATAAGAGCTTGATAATTATAACGTACAAAATTTCAATGAGTTCGCAGCATCATTAATGAGCGTCGTTAGCAAAATTTATAGCCTGTTGAGATCGAGTATCATTCGAAACATTTTGCTTAAAAGCAAAATATCATGTGGCTACATGTATATTATAATAGTAAATACGTAGCTATAGATATTTTGTTATTACCTGCCAAATTTTTTTTTAACCCAACAAGCCAATAAATAAATATCAGCTGGGATATGATAAAAAAATATGACAACGTATATCAAAGTTACTCTGATAATTTCATCATTTACAGAATGTACTTGGTCTGCTATAACAATACTACACTTTTCTTGGACAAAATTATCAGATTTTTTCAGATTTTTTCATTACAAATTTTTTAGAATGTTTTTGATGATGTTTTTATGCAGTGAAAAATGGGGAAATTTGGCAGTGGAGAAAAATAGTTACTTTATTTATTCAATATTTGATGTGGTGAATTTTTTAAAGCAGAAGCATGCTAAAAATAAAGAATGATTGCGCTGGCTGCCAAAGGTATGGGGCTAAAACATTCCAAAACTAATTCTTAGAGAAATTTGTAGATGGTACCTTCAAACATGCCATGATCACTGTAGCTAATATGAATAGTAACTTTTACTGTCTTCAGTGACATATCAGAATCAAAAGAAATTGAATAAAAGTAAATTCAAGCAGTTCAATTTCTACATGGAGAAATTGTAAATGATTTTATCCCACACCCTCGAATGTTTGCTTCGCGGTCTCAGACAATTGAAAATTTATTCTAAATGACCACTGGGACATGTCCACCCCTGTTTACCCCATGGTGCTGCCACCAATGAAAACCATGCACAGGTAACCTTTGCATGGTTAGAGCTATAAGGTCCAGCTTCCTTTTTTCATTGATTTTTTCGTCAAATTTCTTCGTCAAAAAATATGAAAAGAACGGCTCTCAATGCGCCAGAAGGACAAAACTTGTTTTTACACTGATGATATCATGAAAAGGATCTTTTGCATTGGAAAGATTTGGAAAAAGTTTCTTTTTGCTATACACGTTCATTTGCTTTTTTTCACTACAGCTTAGCTTGTGTCTTAAAAGTTTGCTTTGTATCTCTTCCTTTTAGCAGAAGAAAGGTTTGTGTTGAACATGCACTTACGTAAGATCAAACAGTCGTAACACCCAACTATATGCCTTTTGTAAAAAAGCGGAGTTTTTTCTCGGAAACTAAATGTTTATAAACATAAAAGTAAAGCAGATTTTATTAGCATGTTTTTTTAATCCCTTTACTTTAGTCATCATCATCTTCGTCGTCATTTTCATCATTTTCACTATCATCACTGTCATCGTCACTGTTATCATCACTTTCATTTTCTTCATTAGACTTGTCATTGTCATCATCTTTTGAAAAATTACATCACACAATACATCATTCACACTTACACATTATCAGTAACCTGATATCTCAAACTATGTGAATAGCTCTATATATATCTATAGTCTTGTTAACTTCCTAATTAGTCTGAAGATGTCTTGAGTAAAGACGAAACGTCACTCTTTTAATAAATTTTATAAAACCAAATTGTTTATGACTATGTTTAAAATTATTTGCTGGGCTCTAATAATTATATTGAGAATCCGTTTCCCACCTGGCACCTCATTAGCTAATTTTCTTTATGCAGATAAAATAACAATGATAATCGTATTTGAACGTACAATGGAACTGCTCATGCTCTTGGCAAACTTGAACTCTAGGTTCTTACATGTATTGTAATGCCATTATCATATAACTGAAGAATAAAAAAGAAAAGTTTAAGGTAACAAAAAGATTTCAAGTACCTTCCTCTTTTTTGCTCTTTGATGCAGTTGTTGGCATTGTTGGGACCAATTTCGTCAACAAAACTAATGCATAAAACAGAAGTTAATGTAAATATTATCGTGAAATACATAACTTAAGGGAAAGGGAGAAATCTGTAATGACTTCTTGAATTTTTTTACTTTAAGAAACAAACGATGTTTATTGTGTTTTTAAGGCTTATGAAAACTGAGGAGCCATTTGTAAGAACTGGAGAGTAGATCAGATACGTTATTTACATTTTAGGTCAGTCTGGATAGAAAAATATTCACCTTGGTAACAATGCAAAACAGAAATTCCAAAAAAATTTTGTTAATGATTGATTTAAAAATTCTCCTTATTTGATTTCATTGATTGAGCCCAGATCAATTTGTACAGCCTTACAAAAACTCAACTACACACAAATCAGCGCATGCATTGAATTTCTGTGGTTTCATTATATGATTTTATAACTTTTAATCATATAGCTATTAAGACATATTCTTGCATTACCTGATGTTTTGGTATTACTATTGAATAATCTATATGAAGTATAAGTAAATAAGAGTTCGACTTAATTATTCAATAATATCATTAATTTCATTCAAAACAGTTGAAAAGGAATAACTGCATTCTTCCTTTCAAATATACACGACAAAAGTATAGCATATTAAATTAAATTCAACTACTAGTGGGTCTTTCTCTTGCTTTAGTAAAATTTTTGCATTACAATTAAATTATTCTCTCTATTAAGTTATAATAAAGTTTTGGGGCGGGTGTCAATCATCACTAACCAACATTGCTAGACAAAATGTGGGTAGCTCATTTATGCTGCCTGTGTAGAAAGAAATAAAGCTCGTAAAAATTACCGCTAAAAACATTGTAAAATGTGGCTAACGAGGCACTGTAATAGCTAATCACCTTTTGTGTTTCTCTTGGAAGTTTCCTTTCTCGAAATACGCTGAAGAGTTGCTTCTAAAATCATTGAAATCATTTAATGTAAATTTTAAGTATCAAAATAGGATACAACGCGATGATATATTAGTAAATTAAACAAACACAACAAATAGAAACTTGACTAAGATTTCTGTTGCCTTTTTTTGGCATATTTTTTAAAGATTTAACATTACACAGTTATCATTGAAAGTATTGTTGACTCTAGATCAAATTTCACTCAAATTTCTTTTTTGATAGACTGTCCTTATAATTATTTAAATGTTCGCAGCCTAACTGATTAGTGATTATTTCATTTATGCAATAAGCCAATAACATGTCGAATGTTCTCTCGGGATCTTTGAGCAAATGTATTTGGTTTTTAACTAAAAGATAAAGTAGTGCAGTATTATTAAGCTGATATTTGTCTAAACTCTAAACATATAGCGATAGCAAACGTTTCGAAAAAAATCCTAGTCATTAGATTATTTTTCGAACCTTAAGGCAGGGGTCTCCAAACTTTACAACCAGTGGGCCACATGAATTTTCATTATGAAGCATTGAAATATAAAAAATTTCCACGTTATCCTTCAGCTTTTTAAATTTCTCAATGTGCTTGAAACGGAAATAGGAAGTTGGGACAAAAATTGACGAAAACCACTCTTGCAAGTTGGCTTGCGTCATAACGTGAACTTTCTGCACAAAATTTATTTTGTTTAATAATATTATTATTTTTTCCTTAAGTGTCTCTGCTGGCCAGATTGAGAGGCACAACGGGCTGCATCTGACCCGCGGGCCGTACTTTGGAGACCCCTGCCTTAAGGTTTAAGCGATTGTTACTTTACAAAAGCAAAAAATAAATCAAAAGTGTGAAAAATAGAATTAAAATAAGATGATTTCTGTTCAGTCAGTGAGTAATTTCTAATTGTCTTTCAACAAGCCCACCAGCCAACTGTTAACTTTTGGCATAGATAATGTATCGAAATGAAAACTGCATTTTCCAAGAACATATGAGTTTATTGATGATGTATTAATGATTAACAAAGGTCAAAATTGTTACTTAAATATTTATATAATCTCTCAGCGAATAAATGATTTATTCTACACCAAGATGCACATAACTGTAATATGATAGTAAAACTATCAACAAACTATCAACCGCATAGCTAATTTACGCTCTCTGCACTTTTCTAAAAACAGTTGCACCCTTAATTGCAAATTTTATGGGAATTTTAGTATAACATATTGTACAAACAAACTCACCTTCTACAAGACTGACATTAACTATTTTAAATCTGCATTCTCCAATAGCATCAAAAGCAGTACAACTGATTCTTGGTGGTATACCTTGAAAGAACGCTGTCAGATTACATGTGCACTGGTTTATATTTGTGGGAGAAATACATTCTTTAACCAGGTAGACTCCGATATTGATGAGAATTCTTGTTGGGGGTAGAGGTGGTTTTGGTAATTTCAAGCAGCCATTAATCTTTCTTGCCGCGCTAGCATCACAAACAATGTTTAGAGTAGAAAAGCTACGTACGGACAGCAATGGGAGAATTCTTATATTCAATTTAGGCTGAGGCAGTCCTATATAAAAGAAGTAACATGAAAATGGTGAAGATGTGCATATTTTTTGCAACTTACATAATACTTCCTGTTTTTAATGCAGTACACCCCTTTATCAGAGAAATCAAAAATTGCTTTACTTGCAACAGAAGATAATATATTAATTCTAACACGGCATTATATTTACATGAAAAACATTTGAGCTTGCACCTTCGGGATACTAATCCGCCGCTCTACCTGTTGAGCTACCAAGCCCACAGGGATTGGAGACGAGCCAAATCTCTTTTTAAACTGCGTATGGACGAGAGATTATTGCCACTGCAGCAGATACTTGGACTTGTATCCCGAAGGTGCGAGCTCAAATCTCGTCCAAGTCACATGTTTTTTATGTGCATATAAAACCGTGTTAGGATTAATATATTATATATATACTCTGACAATTACTTTGGAATAAAGTCGAAACACGGTGCCATCCAGTAAACTGCTATGTTGTCAAAAATTTTAACTAAGTTGCAGATTAGCTAGAGTCTAAAACCTGCACTTTTTTCATTTCTGAAGTAAACGTCTTTCCATAGGGAATGTCAAAAGATATTATGGCTGTAAAGAGTGACTTATAGTACAATAAAAAATTTTAGATAAAGGTATGTATTTTCCTATTTTAAGAATTCCTTCTATCTCAGTTCTGTCTGCATTACCAATATTGAAATTATTTCATGCTACTTAACTGTATGCAACTCTTTAAGTTAATTGACTAAGTTTTTTTTCACTTACCAGGTAAGACTGGTCCTTCGACACACCCAACTTGCTCCGAGGTTATGTGCTCACTTTGCACCAAATTTAAAATTTTAATGAATAACATAACTTTAAGATGGCACTTTTTCATTGTTTTTTTAACGTTGGTCCAAACTGCAATATTGGAGCTTAAAAATACGAGCATAACCTTTGTGTAAACATTCGTTGTATGAAGATGATATTAGCTAATACATTATTTCCCGCAGCTTACTGAACGAATTCTTGTATTGTTTTGAGCTTTGTCTGTGTAAATCAGCTTTACTTAAATGATGAAGTTTTTTTACTATAATAGAATTCAAAGCGATATTTTACTCACAATAACAATTTGTACAAGTACATCAAGTGCACCAAACACTTGACAAATTGTCAACATAACCACTAACTGGGAAGGAAACAGTGAATTAATAATGAACAAAGTGTTTTTCGTGTGTTAGCAACATGAATTCTTTTAGCCAGGACTTTCTTTCGTTTCGTTTATAGATAAAAAATTGTTTACTTACTTAGTCTTACTATTGATCTAAAACAAATTTCTAGTAACATGATTGCTTACGTCTAATTGTATTAAAGCCTAGACTTCTAACGTATACATTGTTTTGCTGAAGCAAATTGAACAGAAACATGTGAATGAATTTATTAGCAGGAGAACTCATTCCCATTTTTTTCATATTTCACTTAGTCAGAGATTTGAAAAATGTTTACTTTATTTGCACAGGCTAATGGAAACCGAGGAGATGTTTGGGAGACTTTGAAAGCTGATCAGTGAAAATCTAAGACCAAAAATCGAATGCAAACTTGGCTGTTGACTAATCAGCGCGTTTTATTGTTGTTATTTTGTAATGCTTATTGTTCTTTCTTAATAAAAAGTAAAAACACAGATCTTATAGATATGTGGGGAGGGGGTGCACGTGAACGCACCGCATCTCTGTTGTTACAGGCCTGACCTCATTAATATTAATGCTCTACACATTTCAAACCATTCATAACAAAACACATGCGTATTCAGTTATTACCAAAATAATCATTAGTTTGGTACCGATTAAAATATCAACTAGCTTTATTACACTAACGGCGAGATTTCTATATAATTTGCGTTTAACTTTTTTATCTCTGCTGATGGCAGAAGAAAGCAGGCAGACTTCCTAAATATTTTCACCCCTGGGTGAAATAAGTAAAAAGATAAAGGAAGACCCAGATTCAAATACTATAGTTAACATATTTTCTCTCAATTAAAGAATACGCCATTGAAACCAACACCGTTCATCACTACATTACAATTTTGGAAGCAGAGACACCTCAAGTTTGCAAAGACTTCTTTAAAGAACCTTCTTTAAAAGAGACACGCATAAATTTCGACGAAGATTTAACTTATTTAATGTGTGTATCAGGAAACCATCAAAGACACCTTGATATTCTTTGTACTCTCACTATTTCGTTACAATCTTTAAAAAACTCACTCGTGCATGTTTATCCATAATTGCACTCGAAACTATACAATTTACCTGCACTAATAAGTAATCTATATATATATATATATTATTTATTTAACAGTGTAATTAGCAATATTAAACATCAAAACATTTTTTAAGATCCTTTTTGGATGAAGTATTAAAGAACAAATTACTAAGCATTATGTTACAATCAGTTGTTTAGCTGTCTAATTTCGCAAATCCAAACAAGCGAATTGTGTTGAGATTTTTAAAATGGCAGGTCGAATGAAACAATACAATTATTTCAAAATACGTTATTGTATCTTTTAATGTTTTCCACCTTTCATAACGAGTTCTTTAAATTATTATTATCACAACTCTAATGTATATATCTAAATATCTTACACTGACGTAAAGAAAACATGTTATAGGCTAGTTAAATTCCCACTTCAATATATAAGCATTCTCTATAAGGTAAAACATATTAGATTTGCTTTAAACATTAGATTTTCTACCTTGGCGACTAGGGATACTAGTGCATAAAAACGCTTCATCAATGCGCTCATTTGAAACAACGATATTGATAAATGTACCCGGGTTTCCCACGCTAAGACGATGAAAAAATAATAAAAAATATTTTTCTGAAATAGAGTTATCATGATATCAACATTTTTTAAATATTTTATTGAATATTGATTTTATCATGAATTATTGTCTTTGACTTCAAAGAAAGCAAAGCTGGTTTATTTTGAATAGTAAATATTAAATTCCTGCATCTATTGCCAAAACATTGAATTGAATAAAATTCGAGAAATGATTGGTTAAATACAAACTAAAAATTTTTTGTCCGACCACAGAAAGAAAGTTAAAATTATACGCTAAATTACTTGGTAAGTGCATGCTTATGGATTTAAAAAGGTGTTAAAAAATTCAATCAATCTATTTCAAGAGCAATACTTTGATCGGAATTTGTGAAAGTATGTAGACATTGTATGATTGCACTGCCGATTTTCGTAAAAGTGATAAAATTTAGTTGTTTAGCTTAATTATATTTGACAGACTTTTTTAGATTAATAGTACTGTTAGAAAGAACAGCACAAAATACGTCATAAGACGAAGCTAAGAAGAGGAAAAAAAGTCAAATCATAATACCTTTAATAGAAAAAAAAAATTATCTGTAGTCAAGTGCTTGACAAGTGAGTGCTCTAGCTAACTACTCGGATATAAATTAGAAAGGAAAACCATAAGCACTGCAAAATATTGAGCACGTTTTCACACTTAGCTTCATGTAACTGTATTTCAATGTCGCAAAACAACTCCTGTTTTCTTCATTTTGTCTCCTTACTTACTTTAAGGCATTTTTATATTTGACGTAAATATATATGGATATGACTCTCTACCTCTTTTGCGACTTTGATGCTAAGATTCATTTTCTGTAAGTATAGCGCATTCATAACTTTGAAACGTCTCATAATAGAAGTCTAGTTACTTATTATACCACAGTATTAATTTGAACAACATCGAGTAAATTTACTATCAATTTTGTTAAAGTGTATGAAAAGATTTTAATAGATAAGTATATGCAGCATGTTTATTTCGTAAAAAGGCTATGAATTCCCCAAAAAGCAGTTAAAAATATACGTTTATATACTTATATATGTTTGTGTTAGCTCACAGTATATATGTAGCAAGCAGAGGTATGTTTGTGGTAATGAACCAAAGTTTCATTACAATATGCTGGTATGAGAAACATGTTAAATTTATTTCTAATCATCATCTGAATCGCTATTGCTATCATCAGCACTATCGTAATCAATATCGCGCTCACTGTCGTCATCATAACTATCTTCATCACCGATGTCACTATCATCGTCATCATCTTTATCTGCTTATCAAAAAAATACCCTTATTAAACACTTACACATTGTTAACTTCTTCGCATAAATTTTCTTGGCCGGATAAAAATTGCTTTGTAGCCCATTGAACATATTTTAATACATAGAATGCTATCTGAAGAAAATATTTGAGGCCCAATCTTACATCAGACACGCGAGATCTTACTACAGACACGTGTGTAGTTTTTCGAGATTCTCTCGTGGAGTAAAAATTGATTTACTATACAAGCATGTCTGGGTAAAATCACGGCTTCAAAGAATAATTACGGTTTTGTATTACAGGTGGTGTTCCATATATTTCAGTTCAATGGTGTACCCTAACTTAATTTCTTTTCTTAACGGATAGATAATACAGTTTCACAAAAAATGTTTTGACCAAGCAACAGACATGAGAACTGTATCACATACAATATATTAATCAAAACTCATAGACGTCTAATGGAAAAGTCAAAGGGAGGGAAAGATGCTGCCATTTTCATTTTTTTTTAGCTAGTTCTCTTAAAAACTTTTTTTGAAGGAGTGATTCAGTATTACCTGTTGGTGTGGGTTTACTTGTTGTTGTTAGCACTGGTATTGTTGTTGTTGATATAGCTAAATAAAATAAAATGTTTAATATATACAGATAATTTCATATTAAATATTTTATAATACGTTTTAACGTTTAGTTGTTCGTTTCTAAGCTTATTCGATGGAGGAAATAACATGTTGACTAAATGGATTAGCGTTCAAACAACTATTACAAAACTTAAACGTAATTTGAAAGTAACTATAAAAATTATTGAGTTTGGTGAAAGCACTTCCATATTATTGATTAACAAAAAAAGGCAATTAGCTAATTATCGTGACAGAAATCCATTAAAAACAAACTTTTTTTCATGCATATATTACACAAGTACTTTTATCATGTGCAATGTTTCAAGTGCATCTTACCAGGTGTTGTACTTGTTGTACTGTACTGTACTGAAAGAAAGAAAAAACAAGAGGGCAGAATAAAAATGTTTACGACATTTATCAAAGTTATTGATATCAGCGAGTAAACATGGTTTAAAAAATTTTATACGAGAAAAACTGAAGTTTGTGATTTAGTGAATACGAGTCAGTTGTATCGTTACAAGGACTAGTATGGCTTTGAATATAACTACTACTAAGAAGATAAATCAAGGGACAAAATTGACGATCACATATTTTAATGGCAGAAATATATTTATCTTATTATCAAAATCGATGATAGAAAAAATTACTTTCCCGCGTAGTTGAATAACTCTATATCGACGAGGAAAACTTTTTCTATTTCTTAAGTAATAAAAACCCTCTGCTATCCTAATTCTTCTTCTTACATAAATAAATGGAAAATTACTGATAGTTACTTGTAGGTGTGACTGAGACAGCTTTTGAAGAAACATTAACTGACGAGATAGTTGTTGCGACAGTTGTTGATGAGACAGCTGTTGTAATAGAGGAACGCTCGATAAGCGGTGTTGGCAAAATCCTCGACGTTTCTAAATAAGATTTTGAAAGGTAGTGAATGTTAGTACTGGCAATGATGTAGAAGAAAACATGGTTTCGTTTATAAGGAGTCGGCTGACGTTCGTTTCATTGATACCTGGAGAAAGAACAACATCATTGTAACATTAATAATCTTTTTAATTTTTGCATAAATTAAACAACTGATATCTAAATGTTATACGTGGTACAGCAGTTGAAGATGATGTTTTTTAAAAAGATGGACAGTGATAAGTGAGTTGATGATGGTATTGTTAATGATTAAGCAGATATCAATGATTCAGTTTTATGTGAGAGAAATGCTCGTGGTATAGATGTTTGTAAAACAGTCATCCATAAAAAAAAGTTGCTTGTGAATAAACTGTTCAAAGAAAGTCGTGGTAGAATAGTTACAATTATGACAGAAGTTTGTTGGAAAATTTTTCCTACAATAGTTAGTCAATGCAAATAAATTCATTAAAGTTTTGAAAGTGCAATTTTATTTTCGTTGGCAGCTTGGTATACTGACGTTTAATATTTACCTGGATTGATACTCTTTTTTGTTTTACTGATGATAGTAGGTGAAATATATTTTTCATATCCAATGGTTCGGTTAGTTGTTACTGGTCCTATGGAAATAAATAGTCACATCGTAAAATGTAAAATACATGAACAAAATTTTTTTTATACATAAATTAGGGAACGCCTAAGCCAGAATTCAACTATTTTCATAAGTGAGGATCTATTAAATTTAGGTCCCTACAGGCCTTTGTATCGTCATTTTAGATATTCCACATCTGCGAAATATTATTGCTAATTGGAAACATGTTCCGTATGCTGTTGTTGCTATATTGTCTCTACTGCATAAAAAATAGCTTTCATTGTATAACTAAAACCATACCCCGAATACGTCACACTTGTTTGGACTGTCACATAAGTTATACAGCTTTTTCAAAATTTATTCACTGTGTGATTTTATTTTGCAAAAATGTAATTTGAAAAGATATAGCAAAATGAGTTATTTACAGCTCGATATTGTATTTTTCGTTTATTTTGCTTGTGTAATATATCTTCAAGCTCATTCCAAAAGATGAAATAAGAGAATAGTTGGAAGCCGTTCATTTAAGCTTCAATAAAGCAAATCAATTTTTACGTCAGCTCTAACGGATGTAACGTTTGCGGGGCTAGTTTTATTTTAATATTGCATAGACTTGAAAATGTCTGATTTTTAGTAATCTATTTTGATAGATTAGCATGCTCAGTCTCTGTCATACAACAATTTAAGCACTTTCTGATGAGTAAGCAGTTTAACTCACCTAATGGATCACTTGAAACCACAAGGATTCCCTTAATAACAAGTATTGCTGTCAAAAACATGACGTTCTATGTTGAAACAGAAACACATGTAGTCACATTAGAATAGCTGTATTGATAAAATATTTACATTACAGCAGGAAAAAACTTCGAAATATGTTTTAATAAAATAAAATATTTGTTTCGGAATAAAATTTAATTATTATAATTTGCAGAGATTATGAAAATTCATAGCTAGCCTAAATAAATTGAGTGTCCAAAACAGTGTGCTAAAGCAGTGCTACAGCGGATAAAATAAGTAAAATAGAGATTGAAACACGAGCCATGATTTTGTTTAAGAAAAATTTCTCTTCGTATGACATTTAATTGGATTATACATAGCTGTCACACTCATCAGGTTAATAAGTACAAGATAGCACTTGCAACGTAACTTATATGCATAATAATAAAAGATAACTACTAACAAAAGAAAAAATGATTTAATAATAAGTAAAATGATGTTAAAAATGAAGCTCTTACCATCATTTCAATCAAAGTCACTTCAAACGTTCACACAAGAAATAAATATGTCGTTTGTTATGTTATATGTATTTTAAGACGATATTGAAATCGAAGCTTCTTTTTAAGCAATTTTATATAACGCCAATATTATATTCTGTAAATTTGGATTTGAACCAAATATTTTGCATTTTATTTCCTATTGATATCGTTAACTTGAGCAAATTAAGAGTATATTTGATTTGTGATTGATGGAATAATCTGAGATGAAATGTTCAGGATGATTTTTATATCAATCAAATTAAAGAAAAATTGACGTAAAATGGTGTGTCGAATACATACTAATAAGCAGAAGCGTAAAAAATCTGCAAATTGTTTAAGAGATATTTTGACTTTTATTACATTTTAATGAGCTAAAATTTGTAGCACAATTTTTTTAATGGCTAATTTTCTTTATTTTATTTATTTTATCACTTCGATTCTCTGCATTGCATTTCAAGCACATTTTTTGCATGAACGACAGCCATCTTTGAGCTTTTAGATTATTTCATTGAATAAAGTATAAAATAATGTATAATATTTTTTAAAGGAAATGCTGGACAAAATTAACTTCATTCAAATACCACAAAATTTAAGTCGAAATATTTAGGAACAGTTTTTGGAATGAAAAGTCTCCGAAATAATATGCAAAAGATTGTCGCATGTAAATCATGTTTACAAGACAAAATGGGATTTTAAACTTTTTCTGCTGAATTACAGTAAGTGTATTTCTTCCGTTTAAATTTAAGTTGAACTTAAGGAAGTGCAAGAAAGGGGAAATCACATGCACCCTGTTTGTGACATGTCCATTGACACCATTTTTGTTGTGCTTTCATTCTTAAATGTAAGATCCTCAGATGAAATCAGTCCAAATTTAATTTTTATTTGGATAAGTAATAGTAATAAAAGAGAAATCGCATGTTCCTTGTTTAATACAAGAACCTTGTTTCGCAACACTTTCCGATATTCTGCCATTGCGTTTTATACGTTGTGTTTTATACGTTTTATACGCACTGGAGATTTTCGTAAAAATTATAAATCTAGTTGCTTCGCTTCACTATATTTGACAGTCTTTCTTAGATTAATAATGTTGTTAGTAAGAACAGCACAAAATACGTCATAAGACGAAGCTCAGAAAAGCAAAAAAAGTAAAATCATAATACTTTTAATAGAAAAAAAAACAAATTGTCGGTAGTCAAGTGTTTGACAAACGATATTGATAAATGTACTTGGTTTCTCACGCTAAGACGATGAACAAATAATGAAAAAAATTTTTCTGAAATAGAGTTATCATGATATCAACATTTTTTCAATATTTTATTGAATATTGATTTTATCATGAATTGCTTGTATTTGACTTTAAAGAAAGCGAAGCTGGTTTATTTTGAATAGTAAATATTAAATTCCTGCATCTATTGCCAAAACATTGAATTGAATAAAATTCGAGCAATGATTGGTTAAATACAAACTGAAAATCTTTTGTCCGACCACAGAAAGAAAGTTAAAATTATACGCTAAATTTCTTGGTAAGTGCATGCTTATGGATTAAAAAAGGTGTTAAAAAATTCAATCAATTTATTTCAAGAGCAATACTTTGATCGGAGTTTGTGAAAGTATGTAGACATTGTATGAATGCACTGCCGATTTTCGTAAAAGTGATAAAATACGTTTTATACTTTTATACGTTTTATACGCACTGGAGATTTTCGTAAAAATTATAAAATTTAGTTTGAGCCGTTTTCACACTTAGCTTGATGTAACTGTATTTCAATGTCGCAAAACAACTCCTGTTTTCTTCATTTTGTCTCCTTAGTTACTTTGACGTATATTTTATATTTGACGTAACTATATATGGATATGATTCTCTACCTCTTTTGGGTTTTGATCAGAATTTTCAGCAAATTCACAACGCATTTTATAGGCCTGCTCTAACAATAACCATATTTTCATTACCGCGATGAAAATAACGTTCGAATAATTCCTTAATGTCGTCCATATTGAATTGCTAAAGCAGGCCTATGTAATGGGTTGTGAATTTGTTGAAAACTCTGGGGTCTCAATACTACATTTATAGCGAAATTTTTTGAAATATCTTCCCAAAGCAGGCTGTCTGCAATTGCTTTTGTCTAATTTCCGGTTGTATTAACTTACGTTGTGAAAACATTTCCGTTTTGTCAAATTTTGTTTTTGTGAGTTTTTGTGTTTGCGTTGCGAGTTTTTGTGCTTGCGTTGCGACTTTATTGCTTGCGTGGCGAGAAACATTGTTTGTGCTGTGAACAATTAGTTGCATTGTGTATTTCTTGTGCTTGTGTTTTGAGATATTCCTTTTATTGTATAAATCTTTTTTAAGGTTTGAATAGTTTGTTTTGCGTTCAGAAATATTTTATTTTGTTTGAGCTTTCTGGGTCACCGTAGAAAGAAGATAGTCTGTGGTAGCGCTCGCCTGACAAATATTCTTTTTCAAGGGATGAGCTTGAAAAATGATTAATTAATGTAACGACAGCACTTTTTCCTGTTTTATATACGTTCCAAAACAATTAACAACTGGGGTTTTCTTTCATTGTGAAAATTTACGTATTTTAGTTATAAGTCATCCACAAACAAATTTGAACACTACAAGCAAAATA